CTGGCTGTTTGGATTAGCAGTGTCAAGTTTCAGCTTGAAGAATGTGAAACATCTCATAATCTTGAGCGACATTCTTCAAAGCTTTGTGGGAGGGAAAAGGGAGGAAAGAAGCTAGCAGAACAGCTCGACATTGTTCTCACACATGAGCAAAGCAGATCTGGGAGTGCTACTGGATGGGGCGATTGTTAATCCTACAAACAAAGAAGAATACTTGAATTTTATAAGTTAGTGCAGGCAAGATAAGGTGCTGCATACCACAGATCTGTGCAGTGGATTGCATCAAGCTCTTACAAGCAATCATCAGAAAGTAAAAGCTTGATCAGAAATGAGTTTGATTCAGCCATGTTTGTTTCCTTAAGATGTTCAGATGTTTACAGGAGGGAAACAAAGCTTATTTTCTCCCCACACAACAAAGGAGTAGGAGCTATTCCCTCCCTTAATAACCATACCTCTGTCACCGATGGTGCAGTGCTCACTTTACTGAAGATTTCAGGGGGGGATGCAGGTGAGCGAGGTATATTGAAAGGACAAGCACTGGTGAGCAAGTCTTGGTGAAGACAGAAGTAGCCTCACAACAAACAGCAATACACTCTGCTGCGACTCTACCATAACGTGCTTCACTTGTTAAGGCAGTAGACGTCATTAGTTGAGCTCTATCTCCTGTTCTTCCCAACATTTACTCATTTTTCAGGTAAAAGCTCTGCTATAACCTGCAGTTTACAAACAGGTCTGTGTTTCAAGTATGTTTGTATTTAGGACCGGGGGGGTTGGAGCAGGCTGATACAGCCCGAGTCATTACACGATGCAGTTCCCTAGACGAGGCTTAACGGATGTGTGTGTGCATCTGAAATTCCACGTTCACTGTGGAAGCGGCCTCCTAGATTTTCCAAATTGTTGCAATTTCCAACCGACTCTTTAGCATTTTGAATTTACAATGGAGATGGAGAGAGGAGGGGAGGGAGACATCTTTGTGTCTCACTGTGGAGACGGGTGATCTGTACCTATTACAGGAAGAGTCTGCTCTGATCCAACTCAAAACTTAATACGTAAGCATATCTCACTGGCAGGGTGAAGATTTGTGTGATCTGTAGCAAACTTCAGGGGAGAATTTGAAGAATACTGAATGCAAATGGCTAAACAGGAGAACACTGAACACTTAATGTACATACCTTCTCTTGGTGCCACTTGTTTGGCAGCTTCAGAGGGAAGCCACTACATGCCAGCTAGGATACTGGCTCTGGACTTCTATTCAGACACATTTTAAAATCAAGTAATCACACAAGGACCAACGCAGGCTTTGTTCCATAGCTACCAGCAGGAAAGATTGACAGAAGGAGGTTTGGATGATGTATTATGATTTCTAGTTTTTGTCTTGACCAATATTAGAATGTGCAGAAACATAAAACAAAAATCACCAGTTTCTGCTTTAAACTTTTTTGTCAAGTTGAATTTGGTCCAAGGTCTGGGCAGGGACTGTATTCAGCTCCTCCTTTATTCAAACCATCAGTCTAACTCCTTAACAGCTAATCCCTTCTTATCACAGCCAGAGAAAACTGCTGAAACGCCAGATTATTCTCTCCATCTAGAAGCACATCCAAGACTGATTTTATATACCATCCAGGGTAAAAACATACCTTCATCCTTCAGTTTGAATGAACATCTCTTCTCCCCGCTCCTAGGCTGTACTTCAAAAGCCTTTCTTAAAGCAGCAATGCTCATTTTAACCAGCCTTCCCCCACACAGCCCTCAGTCAGGAGTGCCAGTGCATCTCTGTCGGCATGGCAACATGCTGAACTGATGCCGATTAAAAATAATCAGCCAAAATAAATAAACAAAAAGGGCAAGAGGAGCAGCACAGAGAGAGGCGTTTATGGTGGAGACAAGGCGAGATGCTAAAGCCAACGCTGCCGTGGAAGGAAACGTTGATAAAACAAAACCTTTAGCACACTCTGAGCTCATTTTCTCCTTGCACCGTTCAGCATATCAGAGACTAGGTGGAAAAGTGGATTGCACAATTTCCTAGAGACAACCAGCTAATGAAGAGTCTTCTCCGTAACTGCCAAGGCAGTTCATTTTCAGTGAATTGAGGGAGCTAGGCTTATCTATCTTGAAGTGCTCCTCTTCCTCTTTTAATGTCTCGCATGCCCATAAAGTGTCATGCCAAGTCTTTGAATCAGGGAGTCCAAATGACCTCTCCGACTGGCTTGGGTAACAGACATATCGCCTGGCAGCTATCTCAGTACTGGGACCACCCTATAATGTTGACCTTTGTAACCTCTTCAGTTGCTTTTATTCTCATCTAGCGGGTATTCCTTTAAATAACGTATCTGTTATTTAAGTAAGGTGATTTATATAGCTGTCTGTTCCCTAGGACAGCTAGTTAGGCTAAGATTATAGACATATAAAGATACAGAACTCTAAAAAGCCATCAGCTGAAACTCTCCATGCCCTAGAAACAACTATATACACAGGAAATTTATTTTTCCAGACTATGAGCTGCTTCAATGTCTTTAATAATTTTCCATAACTTTGTAATGCAAACCTATGACATTATCTTGTTTCACAAAACAAGCAGATTTAAAGGAGGAATTATTGCAGATGATATCTCCTCAAGCACCGGAGTTCATCTCTAAAGTACAAGCATTTCTTTTACTCCTCTGCCCCAAGTAAGAAAAACAAACAAAAAATTTTAAAAAAGGGCAAAGCTACAGGGTCTGCAGGCATGAAAAGATGCTAAAATATTGCATACAGACTCAAAACTGGTAAATTGCATTACACAGAACTTCAGTAGTTTAATTTCTCCAGTGAAACCAACAAAAGCATCTAATGTATCTAATATGTGTACAGGCATGAGGCCAGATGATTACAGATACCTGTACCTTCATCTTTGAAGCATGATTTAGGCATCTAAGTCATTAATCAGCCCAGGCATGTCACATTGCAGAGGTATATTGTAGATACACATCCAAGTGACCTTGGCATACTCCCACACATCACAGGCTTACATACCTATGTGAAGAGCTTGTTTAGACATATGTGTCTGAAGTTCAAGGCCTTTTTGATCTAGGGAAGTAACACATTTCACTCAGTTACAATGCAACTATGCTCCCCTTTACTAACCTTCATAAGCCACTAACCTCCAACTTCAAAATATATTCTGAAATTGAAGTAGGCTGGATACTTTAAAAATCAATAATACAGTGGCAAAATTTTACTGTGAATCCACCCTGAAACAAACCTCCTGAATTTCCTAGTACAGGAGTGATAACTTTAAGAATTATCCTTGTGTTATACTGCAGTATTTGGCTTGTATAAGAACCCAGCTGCCCAAGAGATTGCATCATGGAATCACTAGAGGTTTCAGAAGCATCTTAATACAATCGTTACTAGCACCTAAATTTTGTGCTGGGTAGCACCCAGTGCACCTCATCAAGAAGCGGTCTCCCTTGCACTGGTGTGGGCTTGCACACAACCAAGAAACAGACCCCTTCCATGGAAGCTCCCAAACCATGTGTTAGGCTCAATTTCAGAAATTCATTGTAAATCCCTAAAGTTAAACAAACAGATCCTATGTTCTCCATTCAGTAAGACTATCGGAAAAGGAAAAGCTTTTAGAGAACTTGCACATTGTAAACTCCTCAACACATAGTTTTCAAGCCTAATATGTCCATGTTTAAGTCCCAGACCTGGCCCTTCTGATAGCCTACAGCCTCTCTGTTGTTCGGAGCAGTCTTTCCTTTCATCTATACAATTCAATTGGCTTTGCCAAGGCAATTGCAAGCAATGTCACTGTCAGATCACAACAAAAAGCATAATCTCCATGTCCTACTATACATAGCAAATCCCAGTTCTCCACCTCAGAGCTCATCTGCCAGTTGCTAAGTTGTCAAGTGACTATTCATGCGCTTAAGGGGAAAAATATACCTGCTAGGTTTCACGTTGGTTGTTGGCAAATGGCTAGATAGTCACAGTAAGGTACCTGCCTATGCAAAAAAAGCAGTATTATAGTTAACTGACCAAAAACACCATACACAATAAATGGTGACTGAAAAAGAGAATTTTTATATCTGTACACACGCTTTGTGCCTCCTCCCTCAGCCACTTAATTGCTGACCCTTTGAATTCTAATGCACTCTTCATGCATCAGTCAATTGAAGACAGCACAACAGCGGCTGTAGGCACCAGTCACTTTGCAACAGTATACTAACACAATTAATTAGGTATCACTGTGAGTTATTAGCAAAATCCAAAAAGGTTTTTGATGTGTGCCAATAGTTTCTGTATTTGAATGCAAGGAGCCTCTGGCACAAACACACTGTTGGGTACAGAATGTCTGTGTCACTTCACTTGATGGATTTACATCCTGGACAATGCCCTCCGTTAGTAACAACGATAGCTGGAAAGAGCTACTTGTTTTCGATCAGCAAGGCCACTAAGTCATATTATATTCAAAATACAAAATATTTTAATTAGCAGAAAAAACACCAAAAAGATTTAGAAAGAAAATAGCACAAACTAGCCAAAAAATCAAATATTAAAAAAACAACAAAAAAAACCCAAAAAACAAACTGTTTAGCTGTTTCACTAATATGCTGTCTTTTCATGAAATCACCCAAGTTATATGAAGGTTAAAAGTAATGACAACCCACATATCAGTTAGGGACATGGTATTTAACTGCTCCTTTGGACTCCAGTGCCAAAACATAGATTCTGAAATCTCTACTCACTTTTCTCCTAATCTCAGAAGAACCCAGGAATTTCCGATATTTAAATTCTCTAAGTACCTACTAGCTGAGGCAAGCCATGACCATAAGCACCTCGATCTCAGCAACGATGTGGAGTTGGAAAGATAGTTAGATATTTGCTGTTGATCCCTGGAATTTTCTACTCACTGTTCCTTTAACGCATCACGTCATAGCCGCTGTGATTTGGTTTTTTTAGCTCATTTCCTCCTGTATCAGCAAGGAGCACTTCAGAAGTTCCCTCCGCAGCCGCGAGCGATGACGTGTGTTGTTGTTGTTGCGTCTCACAGGTCGGCCGAGCGCAGGCGTAGCTCCGTGGTAGTGAGTCTGCCGGGACTCGAGGTGTTCCCCGGAGACCTCCTGGTGTCAGACAGTGCCACGGACCACCTGCCCACCGCGGCCCTCCTGCTAAGCGCAGGTCAGACACAGGGTGGGATTCGCTCGCCTGAGCCCAGCAAAAGCCGCGACTAAAGCGCGCGCGCACGTGGGATGGGGAGGGAGGATCGGTGCAACGACGGCGACGAGTCAAAGTGACTGCATCGCTAATTTTTAGCTGCCCTCGATTTATTTTTTTTGGCGCGCATTTTATTGTTGAATGCAAAATGTAAGAGGTAGATGAGGGGGGTAGGACACGGATCAGGTCCTTCCTCCACAGGCTAGGAGCAACCAGAGCCCAGGCCAGGTTCTCCATCTGCAAGCAGTTTAGTTACAAATTCCTACCCGCACAGCTTCAAGCAGAGGGAAGACAGTGGCCCATGTCACCCTTTCCAGTAGTGCTCCAACCTCAAGGGTAGCAGACCCAACTCATGCCTAGAGGTTGCTCACAAGACCGTCCAACACTGAAATGTCGACCTGCAAGCAATTTCCACAAATACCTATTGTGGAATATAGTATAGCGTGCAGTGTGATTGCCAGAGACCAGAAGAGGCTGGTGACCAGAGATCAAAATTTTCTCAAAAAAAAGTAAGCCAAGGTCACAACCACCAGTTTCATGAAAGCAAACAAGCCAGGCAGCCCCAGAAAGAATGACCAAGGCCTTCAAAATCCAAAAGGAGAAAGTTTGGACTGTGATTCCCAGTCACACATAGGCCTGAAGGTAGGTGCCACATATAGACATCTCTTTCAAATTTCTCGCTGAACAAACACAGGCTTTCCTCACATCTCACCAGTGCATTCCTACATCCCGATCCCCAGCTTTCCCTGTGCCTCACTAAGGACCACAAATTACAGCCTGCACCACTGTGCCAGCCCCACGACAGAGCTGAGGCTTAGGGTTTGTAGGATTGTTTATTCGCAGGAGTTTTAAGTACCAGCATAACTCCAAGATATCACTAAAGAGCAGACATAGCCTAATTCTTGTCAAAACAATAAATACCTTCAAGAATTGGCTTGAGGTATGATGTGTTTTCCCATGTAAGGAACTGGCAATCACACACTGATCATCTGCAGCAAGTGGGAGTGTTTAGCATCATCCAAGATCCCATCACAGATAGACATAACTCTTGCTGGGAGGAACCCAAGAGGCTTAATGGGTTTTAAGCCTGGTGCACAAACTGCCTAAACACAAGTATTAAATCTGAGCCAAGTAGAGTATATCAGGCTTCATCTAAAAAAAAAACCCAAAAAAACAACCAAACAAACAAAACCAAAAAACCCCACCCCAACATATAAATAACAGTTTTATTTTTAGCTATTTGTTCCTTTACTGATAATGCATTTGTTTTACCCATTAGAGTCCAAAAAGCCAAGGTGGCCATTTGCCAAAAGAGGAGTTGTGAGTATTTCACCATGGTTGTTTTTTTTTTTCCTTGCCCTGACCTTGCCTTCTCCCACAACTAACCTGGGTAAACAGCGTTTCTTTACTTTACTGCCCTTGGAGAAAGGCAGCCAGCAGGTGAGTTGAACTCAGAGGTCTCAGCCCACCCTGGGACTGCTTGGACATTAATTTCCAACGAAGGTAGGACGGGTCCGGCGCAGCCACCAGCGCTGCTGCACGGGATGCGCGTGAGAACCAGAGTCAGCACCGCATCCCCGCGGGTGGTGGGAGGGCAGAGAGGGACGGGCAACACAGAAAATCTCATTCGAGGTGTTCAGGGGTGGCAGCGGGTCCAGTGCGGCTCCCCGGGCTAAGAGAGCACAAGGTGGGTAAGTCAGTCACGGAAAATACAGCGTATCCTGTATTTTCTGCATGCCAACCTGGACCTCGGTGCCTTAGGGCTCTGGAGGATCTGCCTAACTCCCACTCACATGGAAGGGATCTAGGCTTTACCTATCAAAGTAGCTTTTTAGACACTTTCTTAGGCCTTTCCTGTCCTCATAGGCACCCTCACACTCGCCAGTAAAAGCATACACACCGACACACTTCAGTTAATTTCCTTCTCTAACACATTTCCTTGTCTTCTCCAGTTATGAAGATTTTCACTTACTATCGTATCTGAATTTCCTTTCTGAGTGTCGTTCATCATTCAGAAAATCATTTGCAAGTGTCTTGATAACTTTGCACCCAAAACATGTAATTGTGAGCAGTCACTTCCTAATATTCTCTACATTTTATCTTCTAAATTTCGACTATCAAAGTTTGTGCAAGTGAAACCAATGCAAGTACTCAGATCAGCACGTACAAGAGATCCCACTTCATCTGACAGCATTTCTATAGCATTTGCATGAGCATGGCCTAAAATTGAGAATTTTTAAATTCAGCAAAATATTTGAAATTTGCAATAAAATGCATTTGATATTTAGCCAAAAGTAATTTCTGAAACTATTAAAAACTATAAAATTTAATTTACAAAGATTTATTTGCTGGTCCATTGGTTAAGTCTGTGTATATATAATTGCATTACTGTTTCTGCTCCATTTCAAGCTATCTTTCAAAATTGAGACTTGAGCTTAAACTCTGAATTTCAAATATTATAATCAAATGCATATTTTAAAATTGGCTTAAGTTCAGTGCCTAAAGTTCAGACAACAAAAATCCATGAAGTATGAGTATACTGTTCCAGAGAGCAGATAAAACTTAGGCAAATACCTTATAAGTCTATGCTCACACCACTGAATTAGAGTTCATAAATATTGGTTAAACTTTTTACATGGCACTGTCGGCCTGAAAAACAAAGCCAAACCAAAAGCAATTGTTTTTATTTCATGATCCCTCACACAGACAAACTCCTTCTGCTCTTTAAGCTTTCTAAAAGCTCTTTTTATAGACCCTGCTCTGCAGCTGAGCAAAGGAGTTTCTTCAATACGTAGCTCAAATAGAAAATTAAAAATAAACAAACACACATACAAGCTTTGTATACCTATGGCAGGAGGATGGTTTCAACTACGAGTTCGTTGTCCCCTACTTCTGACAGGGCTGAGGGAAGCAAAATATTTTATTTGTTGTGTCTTCCGAGGGTAGCCCATTGTCTGTTGCCATACCAAAGATTTGCCCTGCCAAAGACTTCTGTGTTACATAAATAAAATCCTACGCACCCACACCTAAGCCACCTCCACACCCCACCCATAGCTACAAATAAACCTGCCATCACTGCCTCATCTCTGTGTAGGAGAGCTGAAAATATAAGGAAATCACTCAGCTAAGGGCAAACTCCTTACAGATCAGAGCAAGGTTACCGAGCTGGGTAAACTTCTTAATGGTCTTTAAAACATTGTATGAATCAGGTGGCGTTTTTTGTCATTCAACAGGGTAAAGACAAACAGAAGCAAGCATCTGATCTGGAAAACTGTCTTTCAACCATTAAGATCATAGACTGCAGCACATATGAATTTTTCTGCTTTAAGGTATCAAAATACTCAGTATACTGTACCAAGGATACTTAAAAATGGGGATTAAAACGTTGTGTTCGAGTTACCATTTTTCACTACATTAATCTGGATATGAGACGTTTCTGCAAAATTAACGCGTAAGCATAAGGTATATTTTTGTTGTTTGAAATGGAGGGGTGAAGGGGGAAACTGTGAGTGTCGTAGAAGGTTACCAAGGGCCCTCACAACCACCTGGATTTTGCCAGGTATCCAGACTGCCCTAGATCAGGGAGGAACCACCTTCAGAAGGCACCAGGACAACCCTCTCAGCGGTGCCTGCAGATCTGGGGAAAGAAATTACGGAATCGCAGAGATGCCAAACGGGGCACGGTCACCCCCACTGCCGCCTTAGGGGTGCGTTCAGGGGCAGCCACGGAGAGGTCGGTGCCAGCACCAAGGTTCAGCTGCAGAAACGTCACCAAAGCTTGTCTGCGAGTTAAACAAGGCTCCTGGCCTTCGGAGAACCCTAGCCATAGAAACACCAAGCTTGGGCAACCGGGGTGATAGTCACATAACCCACACCCAACACCGTCCCCCCTCCAAAGCAACCCTTATGCTTTCACAGCAGGCTGTTACATGCAGTTCCCCATAGACTTGTTTAAGTTGGATGTTAGAAAACGTTTCTTTACTGAAAGGGTTGTCAGCCATTGGAACAGACTGCCCAGGGAAGCGGCGGAGTCACCATCCCTGGAGGGCGTTCAAAAAATGTGTAGATGTGGCACTTCAGGACATGGTTCAGTGGGAATGGGGGTGTTGCGTTGATGGTTGGACTCAATCTTAAAGGTCTTTTCCAACCTAAACAATTCTATGATAAATGATATGTGAACACCTGACTTTGGAGCAGGTCAGTAAGGTGATAGTGGCCACCTTAGGGCTAAACAAAACAATATCCAAGTACCTATGAAGACCTAGTCCTTTGGTAACTTGATTTTGCCATCTGGAAAATAGGAAGCTATCATCCATCCTTACTTTCCAACAGCATGACAGATTAAATTCCTTAGCATTTGCAAGCTGTCCACCATTTTTTGATACAGCATCCTACAAACATAGACTATCATACTGTGTTACTTCCAAATTCAGTGTGTTTATATTATAAATATTTTGGAGGAAAATGACAGGGGTTTTAATCTTTTTAAAGGAATCTTTAAGCTTTCAGACAAAGCAGCACTAATACTGGCAGTCAGGCTCTTTACATGGGCAAATAGATCATAGATTCTTTTCATAAGGTCTGAAGTAGTTGATGCAACAGTCAGTGGTTTTCTTTCTTCTTCAATCAATAGAGTAAATCTTGGCATGAATTTATAAAAGAGCAACAGACTGAGCAGAAAGATGTCGACAGCCGGTTAGAAGTGAAAAAAGAAGCAGCAGTGTGGGAACTTTTCACAAGTGAATGCACTTACTTTCTGGATCATTTGCTGGTTCTCAAGATGGTAACTTCAGATTTTGCATCTCAAAAATAATGAAACATTATTTGCCCTGCTGTCAGCACAGCAGACATAAAGCCACCTGTAACCTCTCATGGGGTGTCTATGGGGGAACGACTTAAGTGCTTGGGGTTTTTTCCCCATCTTGCCTGCTCATCCTGTTCCTACAGTTCCCTTTGGTTTTTATCTTCTCAATAGCATCTCTTCTTCTGGACATCACTTTGTAGTGCTTTGCAAACACCATCTGATTGCAGAGCCTTCCAGTGTTTTCAGCCGATATGCCACTATTCCTCTCACTAACGCAGAACTGAAGCCACTCTCCAGTTGACGATACTAGGACTATACTGGATATTTCTTTACCACTAGTCTGTAACATTATACTCTTCATTTAACTTCATATAGAGCTCTAGTTAGATTATCCTGACTAGAGCATGAAAAACTCGGAATTCAGCAGACCTGTAGTTCTAATATTACAAGAAAACAAACTAAAAAGCTCCTCTCCCCAAAACTCCAAATTGCCCCCATCACGGTGAATTTTAAGAGCTCTGAAATATGGACAAGAATATTACACGCTGTTACAAGAATAGCTGCACTATTTATATTCATCACACATCAAAAGTTAGTGTATCCGTTTAAAAGGGTGGAAGCTTCCATAAATATCTTCCTATCATTTTTCTCTTATTCTGCACAGACAATTTCTGTTTTCTTACTAGTCAAAGGAAAAAAATCAGTGAAAGATTTTCCATGTTGCTGAAAATTAGCCTAGGCAGCACGAGAAGTACTGCAAATTAAAGGGAGTAAGTAGAGGAGCGGGTGGATTCCTCCTTGGTGGGGCAGAACAGGAAAGGAGAAGAAAAGCGATGACAGAATCAAGTATCGGCCCAAGGCAGGATGGAAGCCACCTTCCTTCTACACACTTTGTTCAGAGATCCGAGAAGATTAAAAACAGGTGAAGCCTGGGAAGGATGAGGATAGCAGGAGACATGGAGCCCCAGTGGCGAGTCTGATGTAGGACCCCACAGACAAACCTCACCCAGCCCTGCACGACCCATGAATGATGAACTATTCGGGCCACGCCAGCTTCCCAAACTCTCCTGCCAAAGAACGAGCCCATTGAATTTGTGTAGCCAGTTTTACAGATACCCGCTACTCTAAGTACTTCCCAGTATAGAAATATTCCACCGATTTTAATGAATCTCCACAGGGAGCTTTAAGACCACCATAAATCCCCTTTAAGCTCTCAGGTCAACTGTTCGTGGCAGCTGAAGAGTTACATAAGGCTAAGCAAACACTCTCACCAGCTCTTCAGTCTTAGCACCTGGGTGATGGGTTTTTTCATTAATGCTTTTCACAGAGACACAAAAAAAGTCTACTCAGTAATCTACATTTTTAAGCCTTTTTCAGATTTAGATGAGATTCAGCATAGCTCCCAGATCACCATCAGAGCTTAAATAATATAAAATCTTAAACAGCCAATAAATACCCATGCAGTTTTCACTCAATACAGGTTAATAAAACAATCCAAAGAGATGAAAAACCTTCCTGAGTCCTTTCCTTAACACTATTCCAACTTCCCCCCCCCCATAGTAAATCTAAGCAACTTAAATAGCAGCAGATGCATGGGGTGGGTAGAAAAGCATTTAGAAAGGTCATAGAAATCTGTGACTATGACTCTGACATTATGAGTTCCTTCACATGGATCTGCAGGGGGCTCGGTTGCCCCTCTTCTGGCAAAGAACACAGCAGGGACACAGCTGCCCCTGTGGCAGCCGCAGGGACACCCCAGAGACATCACTCATACCCTCCTCATCGCACAAATCCCAGTATTTATCCTTCAGGCAGGTCAGGAAAAGTTTCAAATGATCATTTCATGAGAATTACAGTGCAAACATGTTCTTATCAGGAAAAAAAAAATATGGAATTGGCATAAATAGTAAATAACATGGATTTGTTTTGTTTTTGAAGATATTTATGAACACTCTAAAATACCTGCAGTGTAATGAATTTCTCTTGGATGTGGATTTGTGGAGACTTTTTGCAAACTTAGAGGAGTTAAACAAGGTGAGTAAAAAAATAAAAGTCTTCCTGAGATCAGAAATCAACTAGCCCAACAAAAGGAAATGAGAAACCATCCATAAAACTTCTATTCAGATTCAATACTCACATTTGGATCTTAGCTCAAATAATTAGTCTTTCCTGCATTTCTATTTGATATATCAGTGGGGGTCAAATCTCACCAGTGCAAATTATTCTCATGTGCCTCCAGCAAAAGATAAAGAGGCATTGGAACACAGAGGAGAGCTCGTTTGGCAGTTGTTTCTGAAGTAAACACGAGTTTGAGACTAATTCTCATAAGCAGCATCCTTTTAAAAGGATTTGTGAAGATAAACTCCGACTGCACAACCCTTACAGCAAAACAGTACAAATGGCAATAGAACTACAATAACAAGTTTCCTTTCACAAATAGATGGGCACAAAGACTTTGCTATCTACTACACCACTCCAGTAGAGCAAGTTAAAATAAAATTATGACCACCCCTCTCCGGCTGGAGTTTTGCTCCATGCAGGTACCAGAATATCTCCCACACAGACTGGATGCTCTGTGTTCGTGTGCTACTCACCTTCCAGGAGAGGAGAGACCACGAAGCTCAGCTGTGAGGTGCTCAAGCTCTTTCTTGCTTGTGGACACTTCCCCAGAGACCATTTTCAACTCCTGAAAGTTAAAGGAACCCATAAGTCCAAAATCTTACATAACTTTAGAAGCAAACCAGCAGTTTTTCTTAGCTTACGAGTTCTTGTATAGGACACCTCACCCTTAATAGCAAAGTGAATTTTGGAAGGGGCTCTTCAGCTGTATGAGTTGAATGGCTGCTCCCAATCCCATCACATACCCTAAAGCAGCTGCTTACTTCAAGTTCTTTCCCTTATTATAATTCCTTTGCCTTAACAGTTAACACCTGCCTTTTTAGCCAAAACCAAGAAAAGCAGGAAAGCTTTTCAGAGTAGGGACAATTAGCCAGAGCTCAAACACATGAGCAAGTCACCTCTGCTCAGAGAGTGACCACCTGAGCGGGTTTGGAGATACGAGGAAAGAGATTTTTAGCTGATGTGTTTCACCTGGTGCTTGTTGTGGGCTAAGACCATACCTGCAGTCAGCTATGAGAGTTCAGCTGATGTGTGGCTGCTGATTCTTTCGGTGTTGTTCAAAGAAGGGAGTGGGGTATATTGCTGTGTGCCATTTAGCGATCACAAAAGCTTTGAGCTTGGGCATGTCTTGAGAGAATTATCTTTAATACATTTTCTATTTTGTTTTCTAATTTTGTTGTCCTTATTAATGAGGATGACAAATGTTCATCTATGCATACTTGTATATAAAATAGTGATCAGATGTAGGAGAAAGTAGCTGCTCTCAATGCCTTTTATGCCTTTTTTCATGCATTTTACAGCACGCATTTCTTCCTGACAGCAGGCTGAATCCATGAAAAAATGCATGTTTTAAAAGGTGTAGAAAGAATAAACGTCACCCTATAAGCAACCCTGCCCCCATAAATACACCAAACAAAGCAGCATGTGCGGCTACAACAGCAGTTCATAGCAGTATCACAGAGGACGATGTTCTCTTCTGGCCTAAAATTTGGCCTAAAGCTGAGCGTGGTGATGAATTTGTGTGCAAAGAGTGTGTTTGGGACGCAAGCATGGGCTTAGCAGCAGGCTTTCACCCGCGTCTGACTGACAGTGTGGGCACACTCGGATCCAGTGCAAACATAAAGTTAACTTACGGCAAGTATGGGACTTTTTATAGCATTTGAAAGACATTTCCCTCACCTCCAATAGCATGAAACAAACCCAGACTATGAAAGATGGTATCTTCTTCAAATGACCGTGAAGTCTTCCTTAACTGTCACAGCTCTGTCATACGCAATCAGTGTTTTCCAGTAGATACCATTCATCCATTGTAATGTTTCATGTCAATTCATGTTAAATACAGCTGCTACCCTAAATTAGTTTAAATGGAGTAACTAATCTTGTTTCAAAGCTTTTGTCATATGGCATTAGCATGACGTAAGTGGGTATTTGTATAGATTTATTTTAGCTTCTGACTAATTAAAGCATTCCGGGCCTAATTCTGAAGCTAATTCTGGCAACGTTAAGGAGATAAGTATAGGCACCCCATTAGGCTTGGAGCCTTTGAAGAGACAAGGGATGGGAAATAAAGTTGTTTTAAACTTAACTTCAGAAGACCACTAATGCCATTTTCTCTTTTTTTTTTCTTATGTAGATAAGTCACAGTTTTCTGAAAACTTTTTTTGAAACTGTGAAGCAGCACATCAGCAAGTCAGACTCTCCTATGGGTTTCAGCTCCATACTCAGAAAGGTAACATAATTAGAAGTATTTTTGCTTAATATCAGCAGGTGCTTGCAGCAGACCACTTATCATCAGCATGCAGGTGCCTTAGAGCAATCAAGTCAGTCAAGGACATGCCGTCTGTCACAGGCAGTTTGGTCTCAGCCTCAAGCACCTTCTGCCAGCAGGATGTTTTTCTTTTTATTCATTGGCAAGTTTGAGGTGGTCGTGGAAAGGTGCTTTGGATGTGGAACAAATTGCGGAAAGATTTTTCCCTTCCTGGGGAACAGCAGCCCAGACCCCGAGGAAAAGACCAGATCCCAGCCCCACCGCTGGATGTTCCCTGCCTCCTTCCACTCCATCGCATAGATCTTTCTTTTACTCCGCGGACCAGACCCGCAGGCGTATTTAAGTGCTTAATTAAGAGCTCGATGGGACTGAAATACCTCTTGCACTCTTGGCCAAGCACAGCCAGGGCTGTCCTGCCGCTGCCAAGCTCTGCCCTGCGACCCTTCGGGGCAGCCTGCGTGGTAAACGAGGCGGTTGTCCGACTGCCTCTAGTTCCCACACAGCTTCCCAATGACTGAAAAGTTGGAAATATTAATACAGACAGAAAATCAATTCATGGACCTGAACTTCCCTGAGCAGTAGAGGCCATTAGAAAACTTCTGGGAAAATGCTAAAACAGACCCTACCTCAGGGTTAGGGTTTTAAAAAGGGAAAGGCAGGGTAGAGCTTGGCTTCTCACCCCCACTACCTCCGACTTCAGGCGTTCTTATCGATAATGTTTGTGTGAGTTTTATCACGGACAGCATTCAACATTTCTAAGAGCTATCTAACACACTCGGATATAAAGGGACACGTTACATGAGGTCATGTAAAGCTGTTGCATAGATAGCGGTTTTTATCTTCAGCTTCTACATGAATTTCACATTATTTATTTTTAATGAGAACCAAGTCTAAGAATGCTTCACACCTCTGCAGAGCTGTTAGAACTGTGCTCCCATGCACTGCTTGAGCACTGATGTGGGTTTTTTACTAGTTTCCCACTTTCACTGCTTTTTAACTTGCCCTTTACTTTTTTTAACTCCCCATTTCCCTCTTCCTCTATTTTCCTAGGCAGGAGGAAATCTCAGGTAAAATGCACATTACAAAACCAAAACTGTTGTTCCTCCCTTTGTCATGACATTTTTCTTTCTTGATAAGTTTCCAAGTCTTTTCTGCAGTTTTTCCAGGGTGACCTCTGCCAGACACACCAGATTTATTGCCTTAATTATACCTCCGCTGTCTTCTACTTGGAAAACCTGAGACAGAGAGAAGATTTTGGCATCTACCTGAAAGTAAAGTGATGGTTTTGTTGTTGTTATTGTCTTCAACCTTCCTGCCTTATGACAGGATTTTAACAGCAGACTAGGAGAGTTCATTGGAAGCAAAACTGTGTAAATAGCATTTTACACAGATTTTTTTTGAACTGCAGAGGGTATCACAGATATGAAATCACACTTCTGAGCGTGGGTTCCCTTGCGCGTGTGAAAGTCCATACTTGTAATTTAGAACAAGCAAGAGGGAGAAGCCAGAAGGGAACAACTGGCTGCATTGTTGCAGGCAGAAAATATGTTCTGCCAGCCTCTATCATTCAGATGTTTCACGCGTAATCCCTTGACTTGGTGACCTCCACCTTAACAAAGTGAAATGGCTACAGAAAAAAAGAAACAAAAATCAAGCCAGATTGTAAAATCTCTCTCAAGTGTTTTACTTTGATACACGTCCTGCATATCAGCTTGGTTTAGCTGTTGGGTGGGAGCACAGTCTGTAGCGTATTATATGCTTTAGCAGATGAGAGGGCTCACGTTCCCTGGGTACAAACCAGCCCCCAGCCTCTACGCTGTGCCACGTCAGCAGTGACATACCCAAACCTCAAAACTGAAGAAGTCTACGACGGCGTCCTTCTGCTTAAGGGAAGCAGGATATGATAAAAGCCAAAACAAGGGGAATAGAAATGCAGGAACACATCAGTGCTTTCGTGTGTCTTGGGGAGCCGGCGATGAGAGAGCGGGGCGGGTTTTGGCTGAGCCCTGGCAAGAAAGCCGGGCTGCTTTCCTCGCTCACGGGTATTTGCTGACCCAAGTGCCCGCAGGGATGAAGGAATATCCTGGACAGAACAGCAAGCAACCCCTCTGCAAGGGCAGCGGTTCAGCTCCTCGGACAGGTTTTGCTTAACCGTAGATAAAGGAAATATAGAACTCGGTACCAAAACACTACCGGTAAGTGAGCGTTTACCTCCCTCTAAGGCTGGAAAGAGCCATCAGTGATGTCTTTGTAAAGTTACAGCACTAGAGTGGGTTCTGTCTTTGCCAACACCGCATCTGCCTGGAGCGACAACTCCAGCCAGTGCAGCAGTGAGAGAGGGTTCTGCTCTTTCTCACTTAGTATTTAGCAGGCCAGCGTGTCCTGAGAATACTTAAGATTGATCATTAGAATCATTACATTACCGACTTAGAAAGAGAAACCTGAGGCAGCGGGCTTTTCTCACCGGCGTGGGAGGACGCCTCTTTGTAGTAGCCGAACTCTGCAGCTTGTAGGGCCAGGGAGTTTCACATTGCTTTTTCTCCGAGAAGGATTTCTCATGGAAATCCCCAAGAAGGATACGCTCACACCTAGGAAAAAGTTCCCCAGTGGGAAGTAGCAGGTGACCCTAAAACCTAAGGTGGGCCTCAAACGTATCTGAGGCTTTTCTGATGAAATTAAAATGGTAGATAATTAAGAGTGCTGCTTGATCTGCGAGCATGGCCACAGCATCTAAAAGCACTGGGAAGCAGCAATGCAGAAAGTGAACCTGGAGGAGCGATGCAATTCCCCCCATACAGAGCTTTTACACTACCCTTGCTCTCGCTGTGCGAGAAGTTCACCTTTAATTGTCCCTGTCTCATTACAGTCAGCTGCTGACGCAGAAACCTCTTTGGTACCTCCCTGCCAGGGAGCAAGCTGAGGCCTAAGGCCGTTTTCCTTGTCTTCAGCAGTGGTGCGAACAAAACGAACAGTGCAGGAGGCTGCATCTGCCGGAGCTGCTGGTCGCTCCTTTGCATCGCCTGACGCGCTACCCACTCCTCCTTGACAACATCTGGAAGAGGAGCACTGACGAAACAGAGAAAGGCTTTATCTGGTCCCTCAAAGAGAAGGTGGAAAAGTCCATACGTAAGTAGCTAAGGTTAAAAGCCAAGCGTGCCATTAACAATTAGCAAGTTATGTGGTTTTTTGTACGCGTCCTTTGAGCGTGAATGGGGCCGGTCTCCCTGCAGAGATGCAATGAGGATGTACATGCCTTTCTACAACCCTGAGCCCTTCCTCATTCTGTAGGAAATGATTGGTGCCACCCTTCTTCTGTCAAAGCCTCTCTGAGCAAGGTCACAGGACTCCCAAATCAGTGAGTCACTTGTATTTGCTCAGAATCATCGGCAGTGACAGGCAAACAATTAACAGCAGAGCACAAATTGGAACAAATCAAGAAAGATCTCGAACAAAGAGGTCTTTGAGTTGGATTTATGTCTAGGGAGGATTTGTTAGGGCTAATCCTTAATAGGATAGAACTGCACTCACAAGGGGAATATTATGTCAGTGACCTTCCACTAAATGACAGGGTCCTACCATGTAAAGTAGCTGAAGAGCTCTCTCAGCTACAGATTTTCTCTAGCTATTGTGGAAAAAGAAGGGGTTGGTCCAGGATTTTTTTTTTCCCCTGCATTTTGTTTCAAGTAAATAATTTATTAATTCTAAATAATTTAGTAATTCAGCCTCGTTCAGGAAGCTATAAATGCATCTCTAAGTGTCTTATGGTCATACAGTACACCAGCAGATAGGTTTATTCCCCAGAAGGCCTCCTGCAGCCTCCACTGAAATCAAAGACAAGACAGTCCATCAGCAAAACACTTCTCCTGCCACTCTTGGCAGGGAGAGGAGCGGGGCAGCACCTCGTCCTCACCAGCAGCACACCAGGGCCTCCAGCCACCCAGCACGGTGGCTCGCTCTCTGCCACCGTCCTTCTCCCCATCCTGGAGGCTGAAGGCTCGAGCATCTCCCCGGGAGATGAGGCAGAGAGAGAGTTAAAGGCTTCTAAAGACAGATAAATCTGGGGCTCCTTCTTCTGGGGTAAATACTCTTAATGACAGAATTACCACCTAAAAGAGATACTCAGGTTCCTTCTCTTCTAGCCCAGTCTTACAAGGAGTCTAGCCTAACAGCCACGCAAGGAGCACATTTTTCAGCACAGAACGGGTCCCATAGGAAAAGAAGATGGTTTTGTCACTAGTCTGGGGACTTCTGCTGGGAGGACAGCCGTTTTAGGTATGGCCCCAAATATCTAGGGAATATTACTGGCAAAGAAATAGCTCCTTCCACAGTTTAGATACCTCTGGGCCAAGGAAACCAAAGATAGAGGGATGACCCCTCTGTATTCGCAGACACCTGGCAAAGATCTGCCTTCATTTTTTGATCAGTGAATCAGCGACATAAGGAACACTTGCAGTCCCAGCATTCCCCTCCTGGTGTATATGTGTGTGTGTGTCTGAAACCATTATTTGCAATATCACTCAACACACAAACTTGGAATTTAAGTTGCAGGTCCATTAAAGTTTTCCCCATAACAGCCCTGAATCAGCAAAGACTTCATCCCCAATTTTCACATTCTGAGGTGCCCCCATCCCAGTTAAATACTTCAGTCACTTCTGGCACCACCTCCCTCAAAATTAATTCCCATTCATTTAAACAGTCTTTTGATCAGGCTGTATATACTGAAGATGATTTTTCTCTCACTACCCTAGACAGTTTAGAAAGGCAGGATTTATTTTTTTTAAAGAACTTTTTAAGATTACCTTTTAATTGAGTTTTATATGATTCCCCCTGTTCCCCGGTCAGATTAGTAAACACAACCTTTTCATTTAGCAGTGAATTTAAGCATGTTTGAATGCATGGCTTGAAATTCTGGCTCTGATGACCTAAGCAGAGTTTAGGCACTTTTTATAATGAGGCCAAGATTTCATCTGGGGCTTCACATGTGAGGCACTTTGGCTTCCACTGGAGAAAATCAGTGTTCAGCATCTTCTAGAAACAGGACTGTTTTTGCCAGCCTTGGCAATAACTGATGTTTCACATATTTCAGGGGATCTGGAAGGTAAAGTCAAGTGGTTGGACAACTTTCAGAAGTTCAGGCAGCTGCAAGAGGTCATAATTTGGCCTCAGGTCTGGGATCGTGACAAGAGATTCTTTGTTCCAGAGGTAAGCGGCTTTTTAAAGGGCATTTTTTCCTTGAGGAAGCTTTAGTTTCCTATCTGTCTTTATAGGGTTGTCTAAAGTTGGCTGGCTGTCTATATTCTAGTTACTGGCGATGGCTCTGCTCTAGCAGGAGCAGCTGCAGCCTGAGCCCTGCAAACGCTGCGGCTGAACACGCGGGCTGCCCGCGGTGCCTCGGCTGGCAGCGTGGGTTGCTCTCAGCCAGCATCCAAGAAAATGCGATTGTATGGTCCAGGAGAACTCTCCAGCATTTGCTTTTAGGGGGCAGAATGAAATGGGATAGATGTAAGCATTACTACCTTTTTATAAGGATACGGAGTAGCAATTATTCGCCTCTTTCACTCCTCAAGCGGAGCCAAAGAAATTTCTCCTTATATTTAAATAGCATTACAGAAAATTACACAGCATACCTGGAAACCTGTGCACCTTTCTGCTGTGGTTGCCCCCTTACCCATACAGACAGACTTTAAGCAGCATTATGGTAACAGCAAGTGGGTCTCACCTCAAGGATTATGTCTGTTAACATGCAAGGCTGCAAAAACCATTAAACTCACTCCAGAAAAGAAAAACCCAGCTTAACATTTCAAAAGCGTAAACACGTTTAAGCAGTAGCACTGCTGAAGAAACACAGCCATGGCCAGTTATTAGCTGTGTGATGTATTTAGCCTGAGATAAGAGCACACATGTGCTCCGTTTGTTTAACTGCCGGTTGCCTCCCAGTTCATCATTGGATATGGAAGATTCCCCATTCTGTCTCTCTCTCTCTCTCTTTTTTGGGTCAAGTGTTTGAAGCAAAGCATCAGAGAAAACAACAGCAGTGAAAACATTTTGTCTTCAGCGAACAGACTTCTCCTTCATGAAGGGAGACTAACGCTAGCAGGTAACGTCCCTAAATGTCCCGGTATCAGGAATTAGCTTAATAGAATCGTATTTTCTTACGGCAGGTCCAGAATGAACCTCTGCAGCAGTATGTGGGCAGGTGCGGGAAAGAAAAAAACAAACGAACAGCTTGTCAGAGAGAGACTGAGAAACAGCCAAACTGCCAAAAGGATGAGTAATCGGCGTGATTGTTTATTGTCACATCTGGGTGTTCAGTCTGCCAGGTGCTGAAGAAATCAGCTTGACTGGTTAATGCCTGCCCCTCAAAGGGAGCGTTTTACTGTCACGTTCAACAGCGTGGCAATAGGAAAACTGAAGTTTAGACTGTCCTATACGAGGTGCCCCACATACCCGGGACCAATGTCAACATACCTCACCTCTCTGGCACCGTATCCGCTATGTGTTTCACTGAAAAAATACTGAAAAGTCCACGTCTGCAGACACACAGGCACTATTTTGTAGCAGGGCACAGGTTGCTTGCTGGGGAGCTGCTGCAGAACCTCTACGTGTGCAGGAGAGGAGGATTTTCTCCTGGCACGAGCAGGAACCAGAGCCCGGGCGATTTGGAGATCATCATCTGAAAGCAGGCTGGAAGCTGCGTGCCGTGGTGGCTGCAGAGCCGTAGCAATGGTCTTCCATTTCCTTCACCACTTTCTCGGGAGCAGAGGGGAAGAGAATAAGCACGCAACGCTCTCTGTCTCCCACCACCATTATTACTGTTATAAAGGGAGCAGCAAGAGGGACATGGTCCATTTTTCAGTGTTTTTGTTTTCCTTCCCACATGAGGAGAATTACAGTAGCAGAGGAGAAGGCACAACGGGGGGGACATGGAGAGCAGAAGAAAAGGTTGCTGCTGGTGTTTAGGGGGCGGCGGGCAGAGGAGAAACAAAGCCACCGAGTCCTCTCCTGCCAATGCTTCCCTCTGCGCTCACTGTGCTCTTGGTGAGACATCAGCCCCCAGTGCAGGAGGTAAGGGTGGTCATCAGGTGTCCACAGTTCTTTCTGCAATATGTAATTAGAAAATGGAGAAGAAGGAGGTGTGAGCATAACTCTTACCCACCAAGACAGCCAGCTGCCTGCGATCTGCAATATAAAAGTGCCTGGCATTTGGCCACGTGTCTGAATCAAGTATCTCTCAAGACAAAAAAATGAAATCACAAGCCAAATAAAATGCTACACAACAGAAAGACACATATCCTAAAGTCACCACTCTGAACAGACTCACACAAATTTGGTATTAAGGTGAACTGTGCTTGAACGAAACCGAGATCACTGAGTTGCATGGTTTTTTGTAATCCTGTAATTGAGAATAGGAGCAGCTGAGAGAAGTGGGTTTGATCAGGTGTAGGAAGAGAAGGCTCAGGGAAGACATTACCCTTGTCTTCAACTGCCTAATGGCTGGCTTAAGGCAGATGGAGCTAAAGGCATCTTGGAGTTGCCCAGAGAAAGGATGAGACATGACAATGCAAGTTGCAGCATGGGGTATTCCCCCATTAGATATCTGGAAAAATTTGCTAACGATTAGGGTGGTCAAATATTGGTACAGGGGACCAGAGATGTTGCAGAATCTCCTTTCTTGGACATATTCAAAACTTGCCTGAACAACCTGCTCTAGCTTGGCCTGCTTGGAGCAGTGGGTTGGACCAGAGACCTCCACAGGTTCCTTCCACCTGTTGCCACTGAATGACTCTGAACACAGTATAAATCAAAGACACAGAAAAGTTTGTCCACAGCAGGAGACAGAGTTTACAAGAAGTAATTCTTTCCTGTGTAACACCCACAAAAGCCTACTGTTGTACAAGAGATGCTGTGGAGAGCCCTCTATGAAGTTTGTGACTTCAGAGAAACTTACAGAAGGATAGTTTTTATATGATGTCTAATAGACATTAACTTGCTTGCTTGTAGTCTTCTGAATCTCCAGTGGCACATAAGAAGGTCCTCATGGTAGTTTCTTTGTTCTCCGTGCATCTAGCTGATCCATGACCTAGTCTGAATTTTCAGTAGTTGCTGATGTTGCCTCGTGCAACATTAATGAGACAAGAAGTTTTCAAGCCAAACCTTTCAGAACCAAACACCCAAGAAAGTATTTTAGGATCCTGCAGGACTGCCTGGAAGCAATAGCTCTGACCAACCCCATTTGCTGTGAAGAGCAGCTGGGTGTTTCATGCCTACTTTTCATGCCCAGAGATGCCCCATTGGTAGAGAGTAACCAGAGGACAAATTATAAAGGACAAAGCCTGCAGCAGAGAAAGGAGGTGATTCTGGAAGTGAAATAGGACAGCAAGTTGGGACCAAAAAGGGAAATGAAAGAAAGATTCATGGAAAGGGATAGAAGGAGCCATAAACAAGGAAGAGGTCAAAGGACCAAACTCTGCAAATACAGTAGAGTCCAGGTTTCCTGCAGGAAGTTGCTTAAAAAGTTACTCCTGTTTTTGTTAAATTGCTCCCTATTATTTATTATAATACCTGAGTTTTCAACACAGCTTGGAGACCAGCCTGAAAGACTTTGAAGCATTCTTACAGACATCTGTTGTTATATTCCCCACATTGTCATGACTTCTAAGCTAGGAACAAAAGATAAACCAACTCTATTTTGTGTAGTTTTTGAAAGGCTTATGTGATGCTATCAGTTAACATTTCATCGCTGCAAAAGCCTGTGAAGAGGGCAGCATACCAGTATTTAAAGGTACCAGGAAAAGGTGGCACTTCCCTATTTCTTTACCTCTGCCATTTTTCAGAAGGTTTGCTTTTTGCCAGGTAGGATTTGCTAATTTATAGCAATTTATAGCATGCCGGTTGTTGTATTTGTGGGTATTCCAGGTGATCTAGGTCACTTTTCCTGGCAGGCAAGTAGTTGGTTTTTCAGAATGAGGTAGCTGCTACAAGTATTAGCAGCCAAAATCATCAAGGGACATATGATTTTTTATGTGCTGCATTTAAGAGTGCAGACTAGGGGATGAGTGGTTGCGTACTATGTTGGAAACCACGATTCTTTGTTGGAAGCGGTTTGTAAGATGCAGTGATTCATAGATGTGCCTCATCTTAGAAGTAGCAATTCCTTACAATAATCACACCATCAAATTGATTTTTTTGTTTTCCTCCTCAGAAAGCACAAGACTCCTTGATGCCTACCTCTTCCTATTCGATGATCTCCTGTTAATTACCAAAATTAAACGTAACAAAAAGGTAATAATGGATAGAGATATACATGGTTGCAGTTGTTATGTTTTTTAGCTTGGTAAATATTTTGAATGTACTTTGGAAGATTGATCTAATGATAAAAATACAAGATGACTAATCGGCATATGAAGGATGGGTGATACCTCCTTATGCTAATAACAAACCATAACACTGATTCAAACCCTGCTTCTAGGCTTAGTACATTACAGGAATGCTTACAGAATTTATGTTACAAGACCTTAATATTTCCCTGATGTTCTGATGTGCTGAATTCCTAAAGACCAGAAGTTTCAAGAATGTAAGAAGTTTTCTAATGCTCCCCTCATGACTCAGTCCAGCAACCTGAGAAAATTTTATCCCAAAGGTATCAGAACTGTTGGAAAGAAGTTTAAAAATTAAGAAAACTGTTGTATGTGTCCTCTCTTTGCCTTGATTTCCCCTAGTTTAAAATGGAGATATAATGACTCTTCTTAAGAAAATTTGCAAGTATGCAAGGGGAGATGGGGAAACGCACCTCCAAGGAACAGAGAAAAAGTCCTGCTATTAAGGGGGGGTGTGTGCAGAGGGAAGGGGGGGAAAAAGACCTTTGAGCACCTTAGACTGACTTTTTTTTTGCCTGTGGACTTGTATTGTGCTTCAATTGTGGGTTTTTTTAGTACAAGGTGTGACCTTGCAGGAGAACTCCAGGTACCGACGAGTTTTTCTGAGGTTCCTCAGGCAAATAACCTGAGTACCTTTGATAAGAGAAAACACATAATTTAGGGCTGTTTAGCGTGTATACTTCATGAGCAGATGGCAGACAGCCAGCTAACCAACTTCATTTTCTATTCCCAGAAATACGGGGGCTCAGACACCAGCTTAATCCCTGTCTGTCCTTCCCTCACTCCTGAGCTGCAGTCCTTCATAAGGGAGGGAGGATTTTGCACAGTCCTAGACCAGCCCATCCCGCTAGACAGACTGATACTGAAAAACGTTGACCCCATCCACGTTACAGGTACGTGCCCGTGCGCATTTGAACGTCCCCATTACCACCACCTCAATGCAGCGTAAAGGATAAGACGCCGTTTGCCCACAACCCACCCCCAGATGCCTGGAGTGCAAACACCAGTGCTTCAAATGCATCGTCAGGGGAAATTGCCCCAATAACTTCTGTTGCTGTGTCCTTGGGTGAGGAGGACTGACCTCTACAGAGTGTGAGCAGCTTTACCCTGCCAAAACAACGTCCCTCAAGTCACCAAATCAGAGCTTGGGTGAGGGAGCAGGCATGAAACCATCAGGCGTCCCCTTGGTCTGAGCCGCTCATGCAGGCTCTCACACACCTCCGTCTAACGCTGCCCACATCCCAGGAGCCTCCTATATCGAAAAGAAATAAGAGAAAAGCAAATCTCCGGGCTGCAGGGCCTGTCAGCCATCCTAATCCTAAAGACTGGGAGGAAAAGCTCAGGGAGCTAGAGTGTTCTGTAGGAAATAGAAAGATATGGAAAATAAACCTAGAGCCCGTAAAATTTATGATAACTTTCAAATATATTCACCCAGAGTAATTAGCATTCTGCATCAATGCTGATAGGAGACAAACATTGGCAATAAAAGGTGAGTGACTAAAGATGAGGTAGGGGGATGAACAGAGAGAAGAATAACCTTTTTTTAAACATGCTCCAGGCACTGTCTGTCTGCCTAACAAGTCTCCCTACCAACCCAGCAGAAACTAAGTAAAGGCAGCGGCCGCCTCTCGCCTGCAGGGTGGAGGGGAGGGCAGCCCCATGTTCCTGCCTAAACCCCCACTAGACGCAAGGCCGACAGCTTCTGGGTGCTGGAGAGAGCGTGCAGCCACCAGTTTGCACATAGAAGACTGGGCATAAAAGCCATAATGGAGAAGGGAATAAGGTTTTGGGATTTTTTTTTTTCCAAGTCAGCATTTCCTACATTCAGAGATTTCTAACCAGGGTCCTTCTATCCCCATGATCCAGCTGCAACCAGCAGAATAGACAAAGTTACTTGCTGCATCCCAGCCCAGGCTCTGGCCTCCAGTTATGGCCCTTCCCTACACTCTGGAACTCGCTGCCCGACTTCTCTCCCATATATTCCTACCAGCCTTATTACAGCTGTAGCTATGGCAGTCTCCATTGCTTCCCTGTAGTCTTGTAACACCTTGGAAGCCCCATCCTAATCCAGGACCCCTTAGAGCAGGGTACAATAAAAATTGTGAGAAAAATGACTAACAGGAGCTTGCAGTTCAGGTTTCCACCATTTTGCGTAAAAAAAAAACCAAACAAAATTTGCAGTGTCAATGGAAAATGTCCTCCCTTTACAAGAAAAAAAAAAAAAGGAAAAGATTAAAGATTGTCAGGAATGTGTGACCTTGGGGAATGCTGCCAATTTATTTGTAGTCTCAAGGAGACTTTTACTACTGGTGGCAGTAAAAGATTAGTTGGCACGTTCTCAGAAAGGGCAGCATGTGAATTCTAGTGATCCATCACATTAATCAGAAATGAAACCCTGATTTTTGATCTAACAAGTACTTTTGCATCCACTAGTTTGGTGAGGGTTGATCTCACTTTGGAGATCTCTCAAGGACTAGAAAAACAATATGTGTATCTTGCAATATCATAGAAATACCCTTTTGGCAGCAGGCAGGAAGCTGATAATTATGCAGGATAATTCTGGCCCAAAGCCTGCTACGTATCAGTGAAGGGATAAGAGATATAATGGTGTCCTCCTAACACTAGGAAGCTACCCTAAAAGCAGAACTATCTGCAAATGCCAGCACCTTGTACAAGAGATGTAACTTTACATGGAAGTGTACTAGTAGGAACCCATCTCTGAAGATCATAAGCAGCAACATACTTTCTGATTAGGAAACCACTTTCCTTTTAACATTCCGCTCTGGATTTAATCTTTGCAATTACTTATTATCACTCCACTAATAATGCTTTACACTAAGTTTGAAGGGGCCAGACCCACCGGTACGTTGCTATATCAAAGACTGGTAATCTTTACAGCCACAGAATTTTTTTTAGAAAACATTACTGAGAGCCTGATGCTGAGCGTTGCCTAGAAAATTCATTTTTCGGACTGTAAAGTTTATTTTCTGTTGACCACAGACAGACATAAGGCATGAGTTCTGAGACATACCCCCTCTGCTGCTACAAATATCCACTGCTAACTGATTTGCTGCAGCAATTTAACCAGTCTGTGCTCCACTTTCCTTTCCTATAAAACTAGGATTATAGGACACTTTATCTTCCAGAAACATTTTGCGGTCTGACTGTAGAGCACTTGGAAATGCTTGGACAAGAAGCATTACACAGCAGCAAGATATTCTACCTAGTACAAGGCTTCAGAGCAAACTATATGAAGTAGATAAGTTTATCAAAAAGATACGTCAACTCTAGCATAGACTCAGAAAAACGCTGCCTTGTCTTGGCAGCTCGAGATCTGCGTTCCCCTCGGGCTGCGTGGGTTCAGGAGCCGGGGCTCGGCTTAGGGCCACCGCTCACAGGGAGGCAATCCTGCTCCTCGCTCACCGTCGCTTCGTTTACAGCAACGTTTACAGCTAAAAAAAAGCAACGCCGCGCAAATCCAGTGCATTACAACAGGTTACCGTGCCCTCCTCCCTGCCACAACCAGCACACCCGCCGTCTGCCGCAGGATTTTGGCTGCCTGAAGATGCTTTCCCCTCCTCTTGCCCCAAACTTGCTTTGCAGCAGACTTAAGCCACCCCTTCACTCCAGACACGCGACGTTGCTGCCGATTTATCCCCTCGCAGGGAAACCTGCCCCGTAACACCCAAAGTTATCTGAAGGACCCAGGAGATGCTGCTGTCATACCCAGAGTCACTGATTAACTTCTGCAGAAGTTTGGCAGGAACCGAAGGGCTGCTGGTAACGTGCCTGGCCCTGCACCTTAGCTGCACAATGATAAAGTAATTAAAAACAAAACAAATGCAAGCAGAATTAACTTTTTGAAATAACAAAGCTTCCCGCACAACAAAAAACCTAACCCTATAAGGGTGCATTGCCCTATTAAGAATCAGAAAAGATGATTACATATATCATTTCTTCAATTATAATCAATGTGATATAAAATCAGACTGATAGCTGCATGAGGGAATTTATATCATTTCTTTATATTTTTCCACAGTCTTCAGCCTGCGAAATGCCTTCCTAATACAGCATGAAAATAGGTATCATCAGTGCATAGCAGTTTTCTTGCTACAAGCTCAGACAGAGACTGCCAAGGTAAGTAGCACACTTTTTTTTTTTCTTCTCTAATTACACAACTACGCTTTCCCTAAAGGAGGATTGCAGCCACAGGCCATGCTGTGATAAGAATCTGTTACAGTTGTGACATTTGACCAAAACCAAACCAAAACAAAATAACACCCCAGTGCTCTGGCTCACACATTTGTTACAGAATCTTTGCTGTTGAACACATACCGATTTTATATCAGGGTTGATAGCAGGTCTTATTCTTGTTGAAAAACATTATCATTTCTGATTACCAAAAAAAAAAAATAATATGCCATTTCTTGTGTCACAGAAAGGAAGACGGTCAGCCCCTCCAGAGAAGTCAACACCAAAACAACCCCCCCCAAATCATATGCAGTAGTACTCAGACGAGACAACTGTATCATGCTCATCTACGCATGACACACATCTTGCAATTTCAGATTGAACAGATGGTATGATTAATTCCACTGTTACATAAATTTACCCCTCATTTTCACACATCACACTTCTAGTAACAGCGCTGTATGTAACATCTGAAAGTGCGGTAGGCACTTCACAGAAGTGGTTTTTTTCTCCTGTAAGTTGAATTTCATTCTCTAATACCGAATGCACAATTTGACTACCACTAATACTAATTCTTGAAAGTAAATCGCAGTAGATAGACTTTTTCAGGGAAAAGCAATGACTGAATTCTTTCCATTTCCAAGTCACTGGCTGGTACTTGGAATAGGTATCTACTCAAGAAGTCGTTCCCTTCTCCTGTTACTAAAATATTACCTTTCCCTTCCAAAGCTGCCTTTTCACCAGGTGGCTACCGTCTTTTTGACATCTCCCAAGCCCAGTTAATCAAAGGAGAAAACCCTGCTGTGAAAGGTTCTTTTCACGTGGATGTGGTGGCATTACCGCGTTTTGTTGACTTCGGGCGCTCCGAGCCCTCGGAAGGGTAGACTTTCCAGCACCGGCTCCATGAAGCGAAAAGCTCAACAGTTTAAATCCTGCCTCCCGCGGGCCCACTACTGCCGGGCAAACCCCTGTGTAACCACCACCACCAGTGCATCGGACCCTCTGCCACCAGCAGCCCCAGTGGGGCCAGAGCAACCACCACAGCCCCACGCCAAAGCCGGGCTCTGCCAGGCACAGACAGTTCGCCCACGCAGACAGGGTCAATAACAAAATATATGAACCCCAGCACAGCGTGAAGTAGAGCAGGCTGCCCCTTCTCACGCGTTTCTGGCTCTTTGCGTGAAAGCTCAGCGTCTCTACACCCGCTACAGCGGGGAGAGCAGCTCCCGACTAGGCAAAATAAAAACCCTGGGGTGGGAGAAGCACAGCTAGACCTTAAGCTCGTATTGCTGCCAACTAATTTGTAATATCTAATCATAGCAATTCAGAGACAACTCAGCTTCTATGACCCAGACCATCTGGACTAGCGCAGAGAGAAGGAAGTTACGTATTTTAAAATCCATCTCTCCAGCCATCACCCCCTGCCCTCATACCTGGATGACAGCGGATATAGAGCTGAACGTTGTCAGCGTGATGCTAGAAACTGAAATTCATGTGGCAGCACATGACAGATCTCAGAGGGGGACAGAACTTGCGATGGTGATAGCACTGGGGCTGTCTTAATCAGAGGAACAGGGAGCCCAAACTGCAGGGACAGCATTAAACTAATAAATATTACACAAAACCGGGTGAAATAGCCTGCAGCAAACTTCACCATTACAAGCAAACAGAGCATTAAAATCCTGCCTTCCAATCAAAAAGGAAGCCTTCACTGGAAATCCCCGGCCCCAGACACAGATTCCAGCAGTGTCTAGTAGCCTGAGCAACTGGGAGAGTCTCGGTTCTGGGATAATTCACGTTCACTTCAGGAATTATGAGCATGGACCTCAAGAAAGGCTAAATTAAAGTGGCTCTCGGTGTTTATGTATCTGAATCACTGGAACTTTTTTAGATTGTCGTGGTTTACAAATTATTTGTTCTTGTTACAGAAAACATGGATGTCACAGATAGAAACGGCAATCTCCAATTATACCGCACATCGTGAAACCAAGAAAAGCACTGCTTTCTGCTTCCCAGCTGAATCCTCTGAAATTTAATAATGTCAGCACAGCACCGACAGAGCCAGTGGAAGACAGTTATTTCTTCCAGCATGCCTGAAGTTTCTGAAGCTACCGGATTTCTGACTTGACTAGACAGAAATGAGGAGTTTTGACCACAGGATGTAGGAATTATACTGGAGGGGAAAATGAGCCATGCAATAAGTGTACCGCTCTTAAATGCTCCTTTGCTTCAGCTAGGGGAAGGCTCTCGCCATCCAGGGAAGCTTTAATACAGCTTGTCATTTCCTAGAAAGTGGGACTTCACCAGAAAAGTCTAGAAGGGTTATTCTGAGATCATTCAAACTTCATTAATAAATTTAATGAAATTAAAACCGTGTAGCCATAGCTCGCGATAGTTATGCCTCTCTACCTACTAAACTATAATATCACGAGATGGTTTTTGCATTAACACTGAGCTTGTGGAAGCAGTAAAAGCAGATACTGTGTTGACTCCTCATTAATTTTTAAAATAAGATTTTTAAAGTTTCTTTGAAAAAAGGTCATAATTGCATACAACATTCAATTAAACTAGAGATGCTACAGAGTATATAAAAAGAAAGAACAAAAGTGCAAGAATGCCCTGCTTTATTGGGATTTTTTTTTTACCTGAGGTTTTTCACAACTTTATTATCTGTCATTATGCATTGTTTACACCCATTGCAGCCTTCAGAGTTCCAGTTTGCTTCACAAACTTGAGTGTTCCTTTTGCATTAAACCATTCAATGGTTCACTGCTATCCCAGATCTGTGGTCCACATAGCAGAAGCGTGCCCATGTTAATCACTTCATGTTTCCCTCTTTTTGAGGTACTGGAAGAGATCCTCAGAACAGCCTAGAACTGCTTGCCGCAACATTCACGCAGGTTACTAACGTGGAGGGAGGGTGCTCTCACCAGGTTAGTCTTGGCTGATCCCCCGAGACTAGTCATAGTCAAGAGAGAAAAGGAGACTGCCATAAAGCCACTTTAAGTGACTCTCTCACTTCTCCCGCTTTCCATCCCCAATCAACTAGTCTCCCTCAGCAGAAAAGTTAGCCCTTAGAACATCCCCTCGGTGTCAGAGATTACTGCAGGGGAACTGAACAGAGAAGCCACCCAGATGAGGACGTGGTGGTACCTTTTATCCACTCGAGCTGGTTCATCTGTACATACAAGCTACGGTCTGGAGGCTGTATGTATGTACATATGTATGTATGTAGGTACTTACCTGGTTCAGCACCCTCCAGATGCAGCCTAGGCCACTGCGGTACACATTCCTGCTCTTCCCCCTGTGCCTGTGATGGGCAAGATTTTTGTCACAGCTTCCTGGGAAAAGAACAGTCACTCAGGCTCTGTGCCAAGTGGTGAATGTGTAAGGCAGGAGAGCAGAACAGGGTGGAGAGGGCAGATCTGCTCCAGGACACCGCGCAAGCTGCAACCAATTAGCCACACCTGGGCTTACACAGCTGTGCTCAATTTCTGCGACCCCAAGCTCAGATGCACATCGTGTCACACCTCCCCCTTCCACCCCTGGTGCCCCCCACGAACCTCACACTATCTTGAAACCAATGAGGAGAGGACAGAAAGATATTTCAAGCCCAGAGAAGTCACACCTGGCAGGCTAAGCTCTGCCCTTTGTGCGCTGGCAGAAGCAAGGGGGGGGCTTTGTATCTCTGTGTATTTTTGCAGAAACAACCTTAAGCCAGGTCTGCTCAGTTTACCAGACAACTAAGTAGTCCCAGAGATTCAGTATTTCCAGGAAGCCAGCACATCTCCAAGGAGGACACCCGAGGGGAAGGAAGTATTCACACACAGAGACATAAGCTTTAGGGAGACATAAGTTCAACAGGCTCTTCTATGGTCTGGAGAGAAAGATGCCTCAAAAAGCCGTCGAGGCAGAAATTAACTTCCCAGAGGAGACCTCTTCTCTCTGTCTTTCTCCACTGTCTACACAAAGCCCCTAGGAAGGTCTGTTTCAATAGCTACATACATTTTTTTCGTGAATGCCCCCACCATTCAACAGTGGCTTTGTCATGGGACTGATCACACACACAGGTTAATCACCTGGCTTCTCTCTGCAACGCAGCTCCACCCTGAGAGGTTTCCATCTGACAAGCAAGCCTTTCATTAGTCTAAAGAACTAAAACAAGTGCTACTTCTGAGTCTTCCAGTTACACCAGTTGTCTGACTGCATTGCACGCGATGTCTGAACGCAGCCGGTGACAGAAGGACTTTGAACGCGGGATACACAGCAGCCTTGTGCAGTCACTGGGAATGGAAAAACTACTCTGAATTTAACCTGGGAAAAAAACAGATTTGAAAAACAGTCATTATCACTGCCTCCTCAGGAACACAAAAGCTTTTGTTGCAGTTCCCCGTAAGTCTAAGGAACTGGAGGATTTAGCTTGTTCTTAGATGTGTGGCTTCCCAACAGTTCATTTGTAAAATGATATATCCCCCATTTCAAAGTACCTTTGCTGTCTGAAATGGGGCAAGGTAGTTTTGAATGACAGAACTGGTCTATTAGAAAGGTCTTAATTTATTTTTTTTTATTGTCATTAATCATTCCTTTAACAGGTTAGAAAACAAAAATGACACTTCAATAACATTTCATCATAGTTTATACAGAACTGGTTGATGCATGGTGTCACCTCCTCATCCAAATCCACAGCCACCTTCCAAACTGCAGAGTTTAGGAATTACAGTGCACGCTGGACTAAATTCTTTCACAATGTAAGGCACAACTACATGATCACAAGTAGTAAACACAAACACTGAAAATAGAACTTAAGAGAATCAAAATTCAATTAAAAAGAAACAAAACCAAAACACACTCATGCAAAAAAGCTATCTACACCTACCAAGGTGGTATGATCCAGTTTAAAAGTGCAGTACTCCGTAGGTAAAACTGCAACATAAGGCTATTATAATACATTACCTCTAAATACTGGGTAAGAACTTAAAACTTCTTCCATTTATATTTCATACAGTTAGACAGAAATTAAGCTGTATGAGCAATATTCACATCTGCAATAATAAACTCATCATTAAAATTCAGAAAAGAGGCAAACAAGACAACATAATTTGTGGCACGCATCCATTACAGAATACCATTCATCAAGTTCACATCTCAAGTGCTGAAGAAAAAAAGAGACGACTAAATTAATGGTACTTTTGGTGAATGAGGCTATCTATAGCCAAATGACAAAGCTGCATACAAAACTGTTTTTATCCAGCAGACCGTGATTATGTAAGCTTGTGGTTATGATTTATTTCCTGTCCAGCAGCTAGAGTTTGCAAGATTGAAACTACAGAAGTTAAAAGAATACAACAGAGTTTACAACAACTTGAAACTATCAGATACTTTCAAACACACAGAAAAAGAAAGACTTAACTTTTTTCCTTTTTGGTGATAAACTTTTGCAATTTTGGCATTCACTATAACTTTTACATAACATGACGGTGAGCAAATCTTATTAAACTTACCTAATGTTTGAATTTCACGCTGAGAGGTAGTTTAAATGAAATCTTATGTAACGGCATCACATGGTGGGGTTTTAAGATTTTTTTTTTTTTTTTTTTTCCCCCTTTTCTTACAAAAGTGACAAATCCTATACAAGCAGCATTTTGGACACATTACTATAAAAAGTTCTGGTATTTGCTAACCCAGCGAGACATTCTTTCAAACATCCCTTTTGTGCCAGGAATCAAGCTTTAGCGTGATACGATGGAGTACTTTGCCATAAAGCCAACAGCAGGAGCCTGGACCTGCCAGCACTGGCCTGTTGACATGTAACGATGAACACTCTTTCCCAGACCTCTTTACCCAAAAAAGGCAGGAAATACAGATGAATTTGCTTTTAGTTTAGGTCACAGGGGGAGGAAGAATTGGAAAACACGCCTACCAGGCTTCTGCTTTCATAGTAACGTTGATCCAAGAGGGTTAGCAGGGCTTCAGTGATCTTCAAATGAGCAGATACTCCTATATCTGCTGCACAGTGAGTGCATAGTATGTGGTGAGCTACAGACAAAAGGCAGAGTTTATTACATTAACTAGTACCTATCCTCTTCATTATTGTGATCTTGTGGCATCTAATGTTCTCTCTAAAGAAGAAAACCTCTTTATTCAGTGCCCCTTAAAAAAAAAAAAACAACCCATCCCCCAAAACTGAGTTTCTGTGGCAGGACTTTACTATCCAATTATTGCTGGTTTTGAAAAGTAAACCATTTAGTGCTTTTGGAGAGGCTGTGGTTGGACAATAATTTTAAACTTATCCTAGAAGAGATGCTGAGGTCAAGACTTCAAAAATTAAGAACTGGACAACTGGCAAGACCCCTGAAAATACATAAAATCCACGTTTTCTCATTTTATAATCTTAAAATGAAGCTCTAAAAAGACAATGTGTGCGCGATTACATGGGTTTTGCTGTTATATGTGCTCACAGATGATGATCGCATTTTTGGTACAAAGGAATTATGAGTGCAATTCTCCTTACATAGCAAGGGGCCAAATGTAATACAGTGAAAAGTCCAGCTGAAGATAAACCTTCTGTCCATTGATTACAGCTAGCACATGCAATGCAAATTATACCATTCCACTTACTGTAGATTATATACAGTTAGAGAGCAAAAAGTGCGTAGTGCAAATGACAGTGATGTTTCGTAGTCCTCCAAGAATATCGGAGTGGGAGGGGTGGTACTTGGAGGAGTAATTTATCAGTTTCAACATACTCAAACCATGGTATCATTCTTCTTGGCATAGTTTACATTCTGTTTGAACTTAAGTTCCAGCAGTTTTCTGTCTGCCACTGAGTACTGGTCATAAATTTTTTAAGTTTTGCAACAAGCATTTGTTCCCACTTCGCATTTAACTGACATTTAACAATCCAGAAAAGTACTTGAGTTTTCCAGGTCCCTTCTTTAGGAATGTCACTTCTCTTACATCTAGCATGAGAGACTCAATTGTTCTTGCTAATGTAATACAAACACAGCAAGGTTTCTGCTCCCAAATCCCTTCTTGC